TGGCGGGTAAACCAGTTAAACTTGTTTAACGAAAGTGCATACTTATACTCGAAAGAAAATATTATATCAAATAAATAAAGATCTCAGTACTGGAATGAGTATCATGAAATAGTATCAACCAATCTATCATAGTAATATAGTATGTATAATCCCAGCTTCAAAAGAAGCAGAATCTTTTTCTTTCTTGTATCATTTGACCTTTCCTATTTATCAAAACCCATCAAGTTTACAGTTTCCCACCAAAACCACCGCCAAAAGGAAAAACTCAAACACACCACCAAAAAATTAAAATGCAGTCGCATTAGTCACATACTTGCACACTTAGCCGGCGCAAAACCCAGCCTTGAGCGCTTGGTGTCGTACACAAGACGAAAATTCTGCTGCTGATAGTTGCCGATTATGGAGAGGCCCGAACGAGGGGTCCCAAGAATGGCCAAACACAACACATCCTGCGGGTCGAGCCTGATGAAATAATTCTCGACCGGGAAATCCCAAATGGCCCCATCCCCAAACACAATCGACAACGACGGCAGATCATCCACCGGGTTACGGGAGCCCGACACATTATAACAAGGACCCAAAATCGGAAAATCCTCCACAATCGGGTAGCCCAACACCTTCTTCACGAAAGCCTCCTTGATGACCCGATAAGCCGGCTCCACGAAATAAGTAAGCGTAGTGCCCGAGTCCACGATCGTTCCTCCACCGCCCTCCGACGAGAAACCCCACGTCTCCTTGGGAATTTCCAATACCTCCCCTCCAACCACGATCCACTTTATCTCCACGTAATAAAACGTTTCTCCCGATCCCTCGTTCGGGCCTACTAGGCCCGTGAACGTGAAGTTCAATTCCTTGCTATCCATCAAATCCCCGAAAATCAACTTGCTGCTAACGCTAGAGTTGCTATTCCGGTCCACGAGACAGTACGAAAACGAGTGCCCGTAAAGGGACTGGAGCTGGGACGCGAACGAGAGGGGCCCACGCCCAAGGCCCAACAGGCCAGCCGCCCCATGAAAGAGCCCACGGTTCCAGTGGCCGCACCCAAACATCACATTCTCCACCCGTCCAAGCCCGGCCCGGCCCGTAAGGTTCACCGTGAAAGTCTCGACCGCGAAATCGCCCGTCGTGTTGGAGCTGTCCCCGTACCAGTAGTAATACGGGCAGCTCTGGTTTTGGGCCCGGCAGCCCACGGGGGACGAAACGAGCCCGCAGCGCGGGTCCCCGCAGCTCACGTTCCGGTAAGAGCTCGAGTGGTTCGGGTCATAGTAAGGGCCCGTTTGGTCGAAGCAGTCGTGGCAAGGGACGCACTGTATCCAGTTGAGGTCGCTGCCCGTGTCGAGGATCAACGAGAAGTGCTTGGGAGGCGTGCCCACGAACACGTCCATCAAGTATTCGCCGGAGCCGAGGCTGACGCCAGACTCCAGGGTGGCCACCAGGCGCCCGTCCGGGCCGCCGGAGGAATATTCCGGCGGGGGGATTATCGGGTTCTTGTCAGAAATGCTACTCTTCTGAGCAATTCTCGAGTGGAGCCTTTGGATTCTCGTTGAGTCTTTCGCCGTTAAAGAATCCAAAGGTTGGATCTTTTTTCCGGCGGCGGACGAGTGCTTTAGATTGAGGACCACGGGTGGCTTTTTCACCGTAAAGACTTCATTTTTACGGGCACCGAGTTCATGGGCCGGCGCAGAAAGGCCGCAATCGGAGCTCACGGAAGAGGACGCGCCGTTGAGGGTAGGAACTTTCGCCATGGCTGAAAAATTGGAGGTATTTTCTGTGGCGTTTTGAATTACACGCCCAACTGCTGAAAGACAGCATGAGAGCAAGTAAAAGTAGCCCACGGCTAGCAAGGATTTGTACACCATGGGAGAAAACAATCTGTTGCAGCTTGGAATTACAATTGTTCAAGCTGATAGGAATAATGAAGTATAAAAGGCGGATCTTGAAGATTGAATTTGGTAATTGGTACTAAAAATGGCAAGAAATCAAGAACAGCCTATGAACCAGAAATACTTCAGAACCCAAATCAAAGTTTAGATCTTTTTTCCTGGTGGGCTATTAGAAAATTGATCTGAATCTACCTAAAGACTTCTTTTTCGCCCATTCGGGGGTATAAATCTTTTTTCCACTTCTTAATACGGAAAAACCCAAACAAAAATGGGGAACAAGCAAAACACCCAAGAGATTTTGTAAGGATGAGGAAAAACGAAAAGCAGCACATACAAAAAGAGGGGTTTGAGGAAATTAGGTGCAGCAGACGTCAGTGGTGAAGAAAATTGTAAAGAATGGAATTTTGTAGTTGGACTTTGAATTTTGAATGCGTTTTTGCTGAAAATTTTCAGGCTTTCAGCTACCCAACGCAACATATGACGCGGTTTCACACAAGAATGCTTTGAGGAGTTTTGAGATATTATTAATTGAATAAAAATAGCCCCCAATAGTTGATGATACAGAAAAGTACTTCATGTGAGTACACTTTTGGTTACTTTTCTTTGCATTTTTTATGTTGGTTCTTTTCATGTCTTTGAAAGGTGAGAACTGTTAGATGGTGTGGAGGATTGAGCCACGTTTGAACGTAGAAGTCATGTTAAAACTTTTTGTTAATGGGTGGGTAAAGAATTTTACTTTAACTAGTGTTTGGTTGGAGGGTTTTGGAGGGGAGGAGAAGGGAGTGGAGAGAAAATTTTACATTTCACTTGTTAGGTTCATTTTTTTAAAGGGGAAGGGAAGGAAAATTTTGGATAAGAATCAGGATTTGGAGGGGAAGGAAAATGCAAAGACGTGAATTATTTTTTAGTCCTTAATATTAAGATTATTTTATTGTTTTATCTCTTATATCATTAAGGGTAAAATAGTCAATTTAACATTATTTTTCACTTCCATTTCATTTTCTAACCAAATAAAGTTTACAATTTTCCTTCAACTCCTCTCCTACAAAATCCCTCTACACAAGGTAAAATTATTTTACATCTCTCCCCTCCCCTTCCCTCCCTTCCATTAAAATGGTTACAATCTATGTGAATGTGGTAAGGAAAAGAACCTTTTTTNTTAACTTGATCAATATTTGGGTTATGATTTTTTAATATTGATATATAAATTGAGTTAGAGTTCGAGCTTGATAATTTAGTTAACAGTTGAGTTCATTTTGATAGAGGTTGAAGCTTACACTTGTATTATAAGTTTAAACTCACTCTTCATTTTGATAAGTTTAAGCTTACATTCTAATGGGCACCATAGAATTCCTGATATTATATACCTATAATAATATGAAATACCTTTTTTTTTAGTCAGCCACGGTATCCGGAGCTATGCCTGAAGTGATGGGTGAGTCTCCCAACAAAGGTTTTCTGCATCCATAAAAACTCGAACCCGATACCTTGATTAAGGAACATCAAATTGCTTACCACTTAAATCAACCCATAATATGAAATACTTTGGTGTAGCTAGTAAGTGAAAGCGTGATATATGTGATGGCTTAATTAAATCTACATAACTTTTCTACAATTAATTTGTTTGGCACGTCAAACATGTAAAATTGGTAATTGAAATTAGAAATTATAAATTGCATAATTTATTATGGAAAAAAATATATAAAATAAAATAATTTAGTCTATGCTTGCAGTCTCAATCTTTACACGTGATTTTAACATCAATCACGTTATCTTTGAAAAAAATTTAATACAATCATTTTCTAATTGCAGAATACATCTTACTAGTCTTAATTCCTCAATTGGATAATTTAATTTGAAGTCCGACTTAAAATATTTCAATAAGTTTTTTTTGTTAAAGTTATTTGAGTTATCAATGATTTTATCGAAAAGTTAGAGTATAGAAGGGTATCCACATCCCTTAACACAAAAATCATTCATTCAACCAAAAAGTAACACCCTCTCTCATCCACATCATCTACACATCACCTTTCCACTAAATATCTCTTCATTTAAACACCCCCACATTCATACACATTCATTTAAATACATATGTAGGATCCATTATGCATTCATTCAATATAATTTTTTATATTGTATTCTCAATAAAGATAAATTTTAATATTTTTAAATTATAATAATAAATTTTAAATGCATGAAAATGAAAGAACATTACAAGACCAAAATACCTTAAATGAAGATTACACAAGAAAAAAATAGTACAATTAGAAAAAATATTTTTTAAAACAAAAAGAAAAAAGAGTTACTAAATAATTATTTTAAAACAAAAAAAAAGAAAATGAACAAAAGTTGCGCATATCATGGAATAAAATATGATTTTCAAACAAAAAAAAAGAAGAAAGCAAATGAACGCGTTCAAGCAATTGAACGGATACGTGGGCCCAACTGAAATAATGAACGCCCACATTCCCATTAACGCCAGCGTGTCGTTTAAACGGGGCGTTCTAACGCCCCAATGCGGGTGTTCTAAACAGTGGCCGAGTTTTTTAACTTTGGATCATACATATCGACGAATATAATAATTTTAATCTCCTCAAATGAAAAAATTTCAATTTATCATTTAATATCAATGTGCTGCATTTATAAAATCTACTGTTCTGCACAAAAGCCATCGTTCTCAAATTAGTTATGTGAAAGTAATCGGGCATATTTTCTAATGATAATTAGGCAAAGTAGAATTATTAAATAAACCATTGCTTAATCCTCCACGATTGTGTGATGGTTGAAAACTATATACACTAGTAATTAAATAATTTTAGGGTCAATTCAAAATGTCCACTTTATTAAGCAGCCATCAATCATTGACTTCTGAAAATGACGAACGACTTAATTCGTGTTCATGTAGGTATGTTTCGACTATTCACTTTGCAGTCCTGCTATGGAGCCAACTTGACTGAAAAACGAATTCTAACTTCATAACATTTTCAATTCACTTTGTCATCCGTAATAAAATCACTATCAAAATATATATAGAAAATTCCATTATTTCAATAAACTTATTATGTGATCAGTTATTAAACCTGTTTATTATTTAATTATCATTATTTTTTAATAAACTAGTTTTACAAGATCTTATAAGCATATAGTGATTAAACGAAACAAGCAGCTCATAGGTGCGACTCTGTGGAGTTCGGGCTCGTTTTGGTTTGGTTTGTTAATACTCGAAAATATGAATTTTTATATAATAATTTATAATTCTGCTTAATAAGAATCCTATTTGTCTTGTTAAGATTTGAGTCTGGTCATTAATACTAATATATTAAACTTACTGAACTCGAACTCGTTTATCAACTCATTTGGTTAACGAGTCGAGTTTAACTCGACTAAATATATATTTGGATTCAAGTTTGCGTCGACTTGTTTATACCTCCAATTGCTTCATAACGTATTTTTCTAAAAAGAAAAATATTTGACGTTTTTTAATTAATTTAGCGTGGACTTTAATTAGTAGTTAGTTATTAAACAAGTTTATTTTATTGAGTGAGAAAATAAATAATAATAATAATAATAAGAAGTCAATATATAATGCAATTGTCTAACGAAAAGGCATGTTTGGAAATATGAGAAATTGGACTTTGTCAAGAGGAAAAATAGAAATACTGATAGCCTTAAAACAAACGCCATCCGAGTGAGAAAATAAATCTATATCTATATCTATATATATATAAAGAGGTTGTTGGAAAAATACATTAATAGAAAGTTTGGCCAAATAAATATAATGTTTGACTTACTATTAATGAAAAATTCAAAAAAACACATGTGAATCTTTAGTAACAAAATTTAAATTCTATTTTTTTTGTAACAAATTTGGAGATTCTTATGGCAAAATTTGAATCTCATTTTTTTCGTATCATATTTTTTTTTTTACCAAAATTTAAATCATATCTTTTTTCGTAACAATTTTGGAGATTCTTATGCAAAAAATGTGTCAATTATTTATGAAAACAACTCTAAATACAAATTAATTTAAAAACCGGGCAAATTGGATACAAATTTAGGAAGCAAATAGTTGTATAATTCTTAACCAATTCTTCCAATCTTATTGAATAATTTTTTATTTCAAAAAAATTGTGTAAATTGGATAAAGCCACGTGCAACTTTTATTTTAAAATAAAACTGATAGTTGGACGGGATGTATATTCGAAATTATATCCACATTTTTTGGTAACAAAAGCGGTTCATCATTGATATTTAAAGTCACCTTATCCAATTATTTAGAAAAAATTGTGTGCAACTTTTGAAAATTTAAATTTATCGATTTTTTTGGATTCTTATGTTTTTCTTAACCATGTTTTACCGAGATTTTGGTAAGTTCATATCATTTTTTTTTTTGGGTTAAGTTCATATCATTTTCTTTAGGAAAAAGACAGTTGCATAAACATTAATAATTTATTTTAATTTTTTATTAGAATTATTTTCAATTCAATTTGTTTGGTACAAAAATCAATGCAATGTTAGGAAAATTCGGTTGCATTTTTAGGAAAAATTGATGATTTTTTATTTGGTTTGAAAAAAATTCGGATCAATTTGTTTGATAAAAAATCGATTTATTGGTAGGAAAATCGGTTTCGTTTCCAGAAGTAACTAATGATTCTTTTCAATTTTTCTTAATTGAATTTATAATTAGATTTAAAATAAATAATGGGTGAAAATCCCTAAAAAATTCTACTTTAATTTTGTTTAATAAATAAGATCCTTTAATTTTTTAAAAATTTGTTAACTAATAATTAATAATATGCAATTTTTGATAAATTCGAACACCTATGTAGTACTTTACGTGCCAAAGAATCAAATCAATAATGTTGTACATAAAGAAGTGTTTAATAACATATAAATTTCATTTTTATGAAATTTTTAATAGCATGAGACAATTTAAATACAAAAATACCTTTTAAAAAATAAATAGGTAATAAATG